AGCATCAGACAGTTAGTTGATGACTTGGAGCTAATATTCCAGCTCCTGAAGTTTGATTCTTCTTGGAGAAATGAGGTCACCTCTCTGTGAAAGATTCCATAGGGTGGTTTCTTTTCTCTCGGGACTGACTGCTGTGTGATTGCCCAGAGGCAGGAGGGTGGCATGTCCATGTGTGGAACTTTCTCAAATGCTGTTGTAAGTGCAGCCCAGATGATTCTGTGGCTTCTTAGCTGGTCACTGAGGACTTTTGTGGGTGAAATGGAGTCTGGAGTCCTCGCTCCCTGCATGGGAGACTGTGCGTCTCTCTTCCCCTCTAGGAGGTCGTGTCTGGGTGCCCTGGCAGAGAGTGGAGTGGATGGGGGTCCCTGAGGTCCCTGAGTGGCGGTCAGGCAGGTCCAAGAGGGAGAGAAGAGTGTGTGGGGTGTTCTTGCTGTCAGGGTCAGCTGTGAAGAGGCAGGGAGGCAAGCTTATGCTGCCACTTAGCAAAGGCCAGCTGTCCTCACCTGAAATGGACACAGTGAGGCCTGAACCTTATAGGGTTGTGTGTAGGGGGCACCATATGTTGTAACGCACCCAGCATGGTGCCTGGCACTTAGTAGGTGCTTTGAAATGTTAACAAACAGAGGCAAAGGAGAAACGTGGAAGGGGCCTGTATTTGGTGGGGCTTGGTGTTCCCTTAAAGCAGTGGTTCCCTTTTTTATTTGCCAAGAGCCCCTGTAGCAGAATGGCAGAAGCTCACAGATCCCTTCTCGGAATGATGTTTTTAAATGCACAAATTAAGTATTTGGGATTACAGAGGGAGTAACTTTTATTGAGAGTGCTATCAAAATACTAAAAAACAAACTTGTGATGTAGTAATATGTATCCTTAGATACTCTTGCGTTAACAAGATAATCCATTAAGTGAGTTAAGGTTAAATTTTATTTTTTTAAAGACACACCAGCGTCAAGGCTGCTGTTGCTTGGCTTTGATGGGGACATTCATCTGGGGTGTGCCTTTGAGGGCATGTGGCCAGCATGATGGACATGCAGGCATTTGCGATTGGTTCGATGGTCCCAAGTGTGGAGAACCCCATTTTGCAAATGGCACGGCAGCTTCTTTACAGCTGGCTTCGTAAGGTGAGGCTAGGCTTCTCGCTTGGATCGTCACATTCTCCACGCTTGTTGAGTGAAAGGCGGTTGTGAGAGAATCTGGATCCCGCTCTGGGGGATCAAGACCACAAGTTGCCCAGAGTTGGCCGGTCCTGTCACCCGAGACCTGGGGGGCAGGGGACCCAGGTCTGATAATTACAGTGGTGTGAAGGGAGTGATGAGCACAAGCCACGTTTGCAGATACCTGCACGGCTGCTGTGTGATGTGAACACGTCTCTGAGCTCAGTGGTGACTGTGTCCTGGCCTTTGCGACACAGCAGGAGTGGCCTTCACTTGTGGTTAAGGAGATGTTAGCTTTTAATTAGAAGTCAGGAAAATAAGGCCTGATTTTGCAAAACTCTTTGATGGGGACATTCATCTGGGGTGTGCCTTTGAGGGCATGTGGCCAGCATGATGGACATGCAGGCATTTGCGATTGGTTCGATGGTCCCAAGTGTGGAGAACCCCATTTTGCAAATGGCACGGCAGCTTCTTTACAGCTGGCTTCGTAAGGTGAGGCTAGGCTTCTCGCTTGGATCGTCACATTCTCCACGCTTGTTGAGTGAAAGGCGGTTGTGAGAGAATCTGGATCCCGCTCTGGGGGATCAAGACCACAAGTTGCCCAGAGTTGGCCGGTCCTGTCACCCGAGACCTGGGGGGCAGGGGACCCAGGTCTGATAATTACAGTGGTGTGAAGGGAGTGATGAGCACAAGCCACGTTTGCAGATACCTGCACGGCTGCTGTGTGATGTGAACACGTCTCTGAGCTCAGTGGTGACTGTGTCCTGGCCTTTGCGACACAGCAGGAGTGGCCTTCACTTGTGGTTAAGGAGATGTTAGCTTTTAATTAGAAGTCAGGAAAATAAGGCCTGATTGTTTGCAAAACTGTCCGGGCTCATAGACAACCCCCCCCCCCCCCCCCCATCTTACCTAGTCTACCCCGATTCTCCCTGCAGTGGAGGTTTGAGCACTAGGGACCCTACCTACATGTGTGCCCTTGCTGACCCCTGGCCCTGGCAGTGGACAGCAGTGGTATCACCACTAGGACTGCCAATCTTAGGAGCCAGATCCATTTGGAAGGGGCCTTCAGACTGTCCCATCCTTCACTGTCATTTTATGGCTGGGGCTGCTGAGGCCCAGAGGGGAGTAGTAAGTTGCCCAAGGCCCCACAGCATGTGGCTAACAGGATGAAGGGTCCTTTGCTGGCGAGGCTCACTCTAGGTGGGGTGGAGAGGCTTCAGGGGGAGAGTTGCAGAGTGAGAAGCCTGGGAATCCCAGGGTTTCCACCTCCTCTAGACATTTTGGAGACAGGTCAACTTTCAGACGATACGGTCTTTCTCCCACGCCTGCAGCTGTGCACATCTGTATTGTCTCCAGGCTGTCCTTATATGGACCAGCTGGGGCCTGTCACCGCCTGTGGAGCCCTCGAGAGATGAAGAAGGCAGGAGCTGGAGCTTTGGGGGCGGCGAGGGGCAGGTGAGGTGGAGATGCCAGGCCTGGCCCAGCCCCGTGGGAGCAGGGCCCGGCCTTGGCCTGGCAGCTGTAGCCAGCTGTTGCCTCCTGCAGGCCCTTCCCATGTCCTGTCCATCACTCCCTCCTTTGGGAGAGCCTCCCGAGTCCTGTTCTTGGAGGAGGCTGTTCCCACCCATGCCTCCTTGGCCCAGGCTGCTGAAGAGGGGTCTAGGGAAAGTTAGTGAGCCATGTTGGGGGCCTGCTGTGGCAGGCGAAGCAGAGAGAAGGTTCTAGCTCTGCTGATGGTCAGCTGGGGGTCCACTGTGGAGCCCCTCACCTGCTCTGAGCACCTGTGTTTCTGTTTGGAAACAGAGGCTCATTCCTTCCACCTTCTACCAAGAAAAAAAAAAAGAGTGTGAGAGATTGGACCGGGTGTGGAGAGTCATGATGAGGCTCTTACAAAAACATTCGGTTAGCGTGTTAGCAGAGCTGTCACACAGCTGCTGGGAGTTGTCAAGGGCGACAAGGCTGGGCCGGAGAGAGGTGGGGAACCCTTTCCAGACTGGAGAGGGAGAGGGGGTGGTTTGGCGGGCTGGGAGGGATGGAGTGAGTAGCCATTCTGTCTAGGTGGCTCTGGGAAGGCGGAGCCTGAGGGCACAGCCAGGGGAGGCCCTGGGAGCGCCCGCCTTGGGACCAGGAGCTCTGACTCTGGGATCTGGGAGGGGAGAGGGCGCAGTGAGCTCAGCCTTCAGACTGACCTGCTTCCCCGGTTTCATGCTGACCCCTGACCCCACCATCCACTGCCTGAGGTGCTGCTGCTGCTTATGAGAGGGCGTGGGCGGAGCGTGGATGGTGGGGGACAGGTAGTCCCCGCTGCCTGAGGGGGAACAGCCCATGCCAGGCTGAGGGCAGCTTGGGGAGCGGAGGGGAGTCCTCAGGTTCTAAAGACTGCTTATGGCCTCTGTGTTCTCAGAGGGGAAGAGTATCTCAGGGTGCGGGTCGGGGGTGGGGGCCGGCCGGGCAGGTCGCTCCCTCCGCCTCCAGATCCTGGTCCGTCAGCGCCACATGGGGTCAGGTGCTGCTGGGCTCTCAGAAAGCCCTTTGAGCCTCTGTCTCCCACGTCTGTCGCCCCCTCTCTTGGGTCTGTGTGGAATTCCCAGCCCCTTCCCTTCCCAGCGGGCCTGGTTCTTGGACACCAGAGCCAGTCCTCCCCACACCCTCTGCCAGCTCTTAGCAGCTCTCCTGGTCTGCTTCCCCAGCCATTCTTTTTATTTGTTTTAAATAGATTTTATTACCCAGTGTTCAGAGGAGAAAAATCAGAAAACGCAGATAAGGAAAAAGGAGAAAATAAAAATTGTCTATAATCTCATCACCAGGTGATGACTCGGTTAGCATCTTCATGTGCCTCCTCCCGGATTTTTCTCCTGCTACACGTTCATGCATTAAAGTGAGTTTATAGCCTGTACTCGCTTTGCAGCCTGCTCCTTCCATTCCTGGTTCCTAGATATCTTTCCACAGCAGTCAGTAAGGGATTTTTAAGGCTGTTTAACATTCCACCTTAGAGATACCCCAAAATTTATTTAGCAAATCCCGTTGCAGGCTGTTTCCAGTGTTTTGTTACTGTAAGTAACATTGCGATCAACAAAACACCCTTGTAGCCCACTCAGTTATGTGCATCCTTAACTATCAATATTTCCCTAAGAGAGAGCCCTGTGAGAGGAATTGGGAGTCCACGAGGATGCCTGGCATGCCGGATGTTGGGCAAAAGCTTTGGCTGTTGCGATGTTGATGATGTTGAGGTTATTGATGTAGAGTTCAGGGGCCTGGTGCTTTTGTTGAACCCTTGATCTGCTGAGAACTCGCCCAGTCTGGACTTCCCTGGCCTCATTTTGTGACATTCACGGCTAGAATATCCTCCCGTGTCCTGTTCCCATCCAAATCCTTCAAATCTGTCTCCAGACTTCCTTCTGCCTCTGGTTCTGGTTCTCCCTCTGGTGAAGGCCTCCTCCCTCTCCCAGTCTAGAGGGCGTGGCCTCCATGTGGCCTGACCCAATTACTTGGAGCCCTACGTCCTGCCCTGATGGGGGTGGTTAACCCCTTCCTAACTGTCTTATCTTCACTAGGGGAGTGTAAACTGTAAGGGGTCAGGGGGCTACATCTTCTTGACTCTCCATATCCATAACTCCCCCTAAGGCAGCAGCAGGGGGCCAGGCACACAGTAGGTGCTCCGCGAACATGTGCTTTGCTGGGCACCGGCGTGGAGGCAGCAAACCCACCCTCTGTCTCCAGCTGCAGGGTGAGCTGGCCCTCTCATGGGCCTCAGACTGTGTATCTGTTCACAGGGTAGGGATGGTGGGTGGGCTGGGTCCCTTCCTGCTGTGGCTTTTCCCATCCCCTCCTTGACCTCTTACCCCACAGGTCTTGGGTCCTGAGGCCGCCGGCAGACTATGGGTACAACGGCCAGCACAGCCCAGCAGACAGTCTCAGCCAGCGCCCCCTTTGAGGGCCTCCAGAACGGTGGCACGATGGATGGTCGGCACTCACTCAGTGTCCACTCCTTCCAGACCACGGGCTTGCACAACAGTAAGGCCAAGTCCATCATCCCCAACAAGGTGGCCCCCGTCGTGATCACGTGAGTGGCAGGACGAGTGTGACCGTGTCCCCGGAAGACATGGCTGGGGGGAGCTGCCTGGAGGGGTGGTGGCATACAGCACTTCACGTCTCCAAACTGCTTTCGTAGATGAAGATACTGAGGCCCAGAGAGGTTAAGCAGTTTGTCTGGAGTTACACAGGAAGTGGGTGGCAGAGCCAGCGTCTGTTGCGGGTCTCTTAGCCCATACTACTTACCATGTCACAGTGCCAGGGAGTGTGGAGAGGGAAGAGTGGCTGGGGGAGGGTGGACACCCTTTTGAGAGTAATGTTTGGCTGATGTTTTCAAAGGAAGTTTATATTCTTAGATGCATAAAATGTAGATTTTTTTCACCCCCCACAACCTGTAATTATGGTTCGAAACTGAGGTTAACACCAGGCCATTAAAGGGCCTTGGGCTGAAAAAGCTAGAAGCTGTTGGTCAACTCTCCTAATTAGGCCCTTCAAGGACATTCCCAGAGGGGGCTGAGGGTTTGTTCTGGCCCCATATTTTGAGAGACCTGGACACACTGCATGCGTCACGTGGGCCCAGGGAAGGAGTGGGTGCTGGGAACCTGAGGCCAGGGAGACAGAAGGGGCATTGGATGCGTCTCCTGGTGAGTCAGGAAGCCTTGTCTTACATCGTATCTGCCCACCGAGCTTCCCTGCCTCTGGACCCCTCCAGGATGGAGGAAGTGGGACATGATGAGCTAAGGATTAAATGTGTTCCATGCAGAGACGTTTGGCAGAGAGTCAGCAGATGGGGCCTTCTGTATAAGAAAACCTGAGGAGTGGGAATGATAAATCTGGCCTCTGCTGCCTTTGGGGCCGGACAGGAAAACTGTAGTCATAATACGTTACTGTGCTCATGATAAGGGGAGGAAAAGACATGTTAAATAAAAGGGACGGGGCTTCCCTGGTGGCGCAGTGGTTGAGAGTCCGCCTGCCGATGCAGGGGACGCGGGTTCGTGCCCTGGTCCAGGAGGATCCCACGTGCTGCGGAGCAGCTGGGCCCGTGAGCCGTGGCCGCTGAGCCTGCGCGTCCAGAGCCTGTGCTCCGCAACGGGAGAGGACACAGCAGTGAGGGGCCTGCGTACCGCAAAAAAAAAAAAGAAAAAAAAAGGGACTTGAGGGCTTCCCTGGTGGCTCAGTGGTTAAGAATCCACCTGCCAATGCAGGGGACATGGGTTCGAGCCCTGGTCCGGGAAGATCCCACATGCCATGGAGCAACTAAGCCCGTGCGCCACAGCTACTGAGCCTGAGCTCTATAGCCCGCGAGCCACAGCTACTGAAGCCCATGTGCCACAGCTACTGAAGCCCGCGTGCCTGGAGCCTGTGCTCCACAACAAGAGAAGCCACCGCAATGAGAAGCCCGTGCACCACAACGAGGAGCAGCCCCCGCTCGCCACAATTGGAGAAAGTCTGCACGAGGCAATGAAGACCCAACACAGCCAGCAATAAAAAAAATAAAATAAATTTATTAAAAAAAGAAAAAAGGGACTTGATATATAGTCTTTTGACTAGCAGGTGACAAAACTAGGTTCAGGTCTTGAGCACAGTGTTGGAACCTCGTGTCCTGGGCCTGGCTCTGCCTCTGTCCTGCTCTGTGACCGTGGGCAGATGCTTTTCCCTCTCGGGGCCTCAGTCTCCTTATCAGGATATGTGGGTATGACATTCAAAATATTTAAGCGTGGTGTGGCTCAGGACAGTCACTGGTCTGCTGCAGAAATCCTCTGTAGTGAGACTGTGTGCTCCCTGGAGCCAGCCGTGACCCAGTGATCCTTGGGTTGTAGCTTGTTTGAGGTTCAAGGGACCTTAGAAGATCATCCAGTACAGCGGCTGGCAAACCATATCCTTTAGGCCCATCTCCTGTTTCGGTAAATAAGAGTTCAATAAGTGTTCGTTGGGACACTGCCACTCCCACTCGTTTGCATATTGTCAGCAGAAGCTTAAGGCTGCAACGGCAGAGTTGAGTAGTTGCAGCTGACTGCGTGGCCCACAAAGCCTAAAGTATTTACTATCTGGTCCTTTATAGGAAAGGTTTGCTCACTCCTGATCTGATAGCTATTAGATCAGATGTGAAAACTGATCTAGACACAGAAACTGAGTCTCGGGAGGCAGAAGGGTTTGCTCGCCATGGGTCCCGTGTGATGGAGGCAGAGCTGGCCGAGGGAGCCCAGGTCTCTGGACTCCTGTCTAGTGCTCCCCACCCCAGTCATTCCCCCACCCTGCCTTTCCTTTTGTAAAGAGGCTCAGACCCCAGATCATGAGCTCTGGGAGGCTGTGTCTTATTCATTGTTATAATCAGCACAGAAACTTGTTGGGTCTTGAGTGCACAGCGCTCCCCCTGGTTTAGCATCTACAGAAAGCTGTGGGTTTTGTTTGAAATGGCCCTGTGTGGAGGTGGAACTACTGCTAGTAATTGTAGTTAGATTACTAAATGATCACAGACTTCGAGGCACTGGGCTAAGCACTTATTTCATTAGCGCATTGTCTTCTCACAGCAGCCCTTAGGAGGTTGCAATTACTGGAAACGGAGCTGTAGAGCAAGTAACTCCAAAGCCATGGAGTTACTGAGCAGTGGAGTTGGAGTCATACCCAGGCCACATGGCCCCAAAGCCTGGGTCCTGAACCACTGCGCTCTGCTAGGGGGTTGTCAGTGTGGGGTTGTTCTCAGAGACAATCTGATGGAGGGACCGTCTGGGATGGTTCTTGTTAAGCCTTGTTTAAGGAGGCCTTAAACAAGACAGAAGCTTCTCTCTACACAAAAGTCCAGGAGGTACTCCAGGCTGATGTGGCTGTTCCATGATCAGTCAGGCTCCTCCTCTCTTGTTGCTCCACCATCATCAGCATCTATTTCCTGCCATCATTTCTGGATGCTAGACAGGGAGAAGGAGGGAAGGGTAGAGGGCACACATCTTCTCTTTAAGGGGATGGCCCAGAAGTTGCACACCTCACTTCTCCTCACGTCCCATTGGCCCAAACTGAATCACATGATCACACTAGCTGCAAGGGAGGCTGGGACATGTAGTCTTCAGCTGGATGTCCCAGTCACAATTCCAGGGTACTATTGCTGAGGAAGAAGGAGAGAGTGGCTGTTGGGGGACAGTGGGTAGCCTCTATCATAAATGCGTGGGTGGGATGGGGTGGCCCTGCCGGAGGCCTGGTGAGGGTGGAGCGGATAATACTGGCTGCGGAGGTTGCCTGACTCAGTCTCCATTCTGCCCCTGGCAGGTACAACTGCAAGGAGGAGTTCCAGATCCACGATGAGCTGCTCAAAGCCCATTACACGCTGGGCCGGCTCTCAGATGCCACCCCAGAGCACTACCTGGTGCAGGTGAGGTTGGGCCTATCCCTCTCTCCCCCTTGCGGCCTCTCCCACCCTCTTGCCCTCCTTCCTCACAAGCTCCCTCCCTAATCTCCTCCTGCTTTCCACACTGTCCCCCTTCTCTGCCTCACCCCACCCTCTGGGGTCCTGATCCCACTTCCTCTCACCCTCTGGTTTCCTGGGCCCCGTTCCTCCTGCCCTGTGGAGACCCCTGCTCTTCTGTCCCCATCTGTCCCCTGCCTGGCCCCCAGCCTGCCCACACCTCTCTCTCAGAGCACCAGGGAGAAGAGAGAAGGGAGCCTGAAGGACCTGGAACCCCAGATGGCTCCCCGCAGGCTGGGAATCTCCATCCCATTCTCTTGTGAAGTTTCAGAACTTCTCTAGAATGTAGAGAGATGTAGATGTACATGTGCATCTATTTATCTGTCTTTGTATCTTTTTTTTTTTTTTTTTTTGCCTTAAATACCCCCTGGAAAGTAAAGTCTACAAGGGCAGATGACTTTTCATGTGTCTTGTTCACTGCTGTAGCCCCAGGCCCTAGAACAGTGCTTGGGTATAATGTAGGTGCTCAATAAATGGTGAATGAATGAATGAATGAATGATAATCATGATGATTAAACTGTATTTGTTGAAAGAGGGTCTGGGTAGCAGGTGGCAGTGGACGGGTAGATGGGTGAAGAGGTGGATGGGTTGACCTCATGGTTCCTCTTTGCCCAGGAATGTGTCTTCTGGTTCCTCCTGCTTTCACCTGATCCCTGAGTAGTGTTTTCCTCTTTTCTCTGTAGTCACTGCCTCCCCAGCTGGGGAGGGGAGAAACCTGCCCATTCCCAGAGCCGCAGGCCTCTAGGAAGTGGCTAGCAGTTTTCTCCTGGTTGGTTCTTGGTGCCCCAGCTGTGACTCCCTATGCGAGCCCCTTTTCCATCAGCTTCCTCTGGGTATGAGAGATGTTTGCTGTGTGCCCGGGGAGCTGCAGGCCCACCCTAGGGGCAGCTTTGGTCTTCTGTTTCACGTCCCTGGAGTACCTCTCCCTGCTCTCCTTCTTCAAGGCCAGGCTCAGATGCCACTTTCTGCATGAGGAGGAGTTGCCTTTCCTTTTCCCACACTGTACGGCACCCCTCCTGGCATCACGGATAGTCACGTATTTTGTCTGCTTTTTCTACGAGTCAGCAGACAACTTGAGGACCATGTCCCCCACCCCCTCTCCCTGCTCCCCATCCCCTGGGGCCTGGGACAGAGCCCTGTTGGTAGAAGACGTCCCCGAGTCATCTAAGTGACCCCCTGTGGCTCTCCCCCTGCCAGGGCCGGTACTTCCTGGTGCGGGATGTTGCAGAGAAGATGGATGTGCTGGGCACTCTGCAGAGCTGTGGGGCCCCCAACTTCCGGCAGGTGCGGGGCGGGCTCACTGTGTTTGGCATGGGGCAGCCCAGCCTCTCAGGATTCAGGCGGGTTCTTCAGAAACTCCAGAAGGACGGACACAGGGTAAGCATGGCCATTTCCCAGGCAGGGGCTAGCCCCCAAATCTGGGGAAAGGGTTTCCCGGAGGGGCAACTTCAGAGGCTCTGGAGGGGCCTGGCCATATCATAAGGAGGGTGAATGGTGACCAGGACCAGGCCCTGCCAGGCCTTCAATGCCATTATGGTCACTGTGGTCAGCATGACTGGGAAGTTCTGGGTAAATATTGATTGCACTGTCCCGTGTGGACATGGGGGACCCAAGGTCAGAAGCCCCTTATACACCCCACAGGATGATGATCACAGCTAACACTTACGTCCTCATGTCAATCCTATGAGGCAGTTATTCTCCCATTTTACAGAGGAGGAAACTGAGGCCCAGAGAGGATAAGTGACACAGCCCCTGAGTGGTGTCCCAAGACACAAACCTAGACCCCTGGACTCCACGTGCCTGCTTTACATGCCTCCTCTCTCCTGCCTGATGTGGAGGTGGGGTTTTGAGTGTCTCCAGACAGAGGATGAGTGTCCGCTGTGATTGCAGGCTTATGGCAGGCAGCCGAGTGTGAGTTGACCTGGGTTAAGATGGAGAGTCCTTAGTGAACCAGAGTGGGGAGGGCGTGTTAGCTGAGCATGGATCCCACCTTCCCAGCAAGTTCTCCAGGGTGGGGCCTGCCCACACATCTCCCTCTGTCTGTACGGTGCTCAGTGAATGAATGATTACATGGTGGTGGTGGGCATTCACTTCTTCAGCTGATGTTTATCAAGCACTTGATTTACCTAGGGCTCTGCACTAGGAATTGTGGGGACATGAAAATGACAAGGACATGATTCTACCCGCAAGGAATCTGTAGTCCACAAAGGGAGAAAGATGTATTCATTGATAACGTTAATCCAGAGCAGGAGTTAACACCACAAGATTCAGATGAAGGGCTGTTGGCCCCGAGAGGAGGGAGGGTCAGGAGCCGGTGGCATTGGGACTGAGCTTTGCTTCTGGGGTAGGCTTCAGGTTGCAGGGGCAGAGTGGGGTGATGGGCCCGCGATGAGGGGGAGCGGCTCGCTCGGAGGCCCAGAGGTGGGGTAGTGGTGATGCTTCCTTCCTTCTTGGGTTCCCGGCAGGAGTGCGTCATCTTCTGTGTGCGGGAGGAGCCCGTGCTGTTTCTGCGTGCTGATGAGGACTTCGTGCCCTACACGCCTCGAGACAAGCAGAGTCTTCACGAGAACCTCCACGGCCTCGGACCCGGGGTCCAGGTGGAGCGCTTGGAGCTGGCCATCCGGAAGGAGGTGAGGGCCACCGGTGTGGGTGGGAGGCCACCCCCCCTGGTAGGCCTTGGACAGCTGAGTTGAGCCCCAGCCCTGCTTTGCTCTCACTGGCACACACTCGCTCACTTTTCTGCCCTGCTTGGGTGAATGGCTGCTGCAGCGCTGGCTCCGGGCAGCCAGGGGAAGGACTTCTCTTCTCGACTCTGCTTGCCTCTGCCCCTTTCCCACCCTGCTTTTCTCCTCCAAACTCAGCATCATTATTTAGAAAAGGGTCTGGTGGAGGGGAAAGAGCTCTAGACTAAAAGCCCCAGGACAAGTTCAGCCTCCTGTGAGCTGTGGGCTGTGGGCTGGGTCACTTCTCTCCATGGGCCTCTGTTTCTGAGGTTCCTCTTTCCTCCTCCTTCACAGCTGGGAGGTTTGTCAGGGTCTCTGAGGCTGTTGATGCACCACAGAGGTGTGTAAATAGTGTGTGGGGGTCATGGCGTCCCCTACCTCCCCTGGGACATCCCGGGCAGGAATGGAGGCCGCAGCTCAGGCTTTCTCCCCTCTAGCTCCCAGCTGACCGAGCTTCCTCCTGTCCTTCAGTCTGGCGGTTTAGCCAATTC